AAAGGTTATTGCATGTATTTATTCATGTTTTCTCTTCACACAGAAACAAATGATGCATAGGAGCCTACTTTATTGGCTATGACATCCCTGTGAGATTCTGTCGTGTAACCGGGGATATCTATCACGTACGCACAAATGATGAGCTCCTACTATACTAACTAAAAACATATAAATAAAACTTATTAAGAAATATTAGAGTTTGAAACTTATGCAATTAACCTCCTTCTTTTGGTTAACTCGAGGAAAAAAAGGGATATATCTCTAAGAAATCTCATTCAATTAGATAGGGTAATTAAAAAATAGGACACCAAAAGAATTTGATCGCTGAGCCGTATGAGGTCGGAAACTCTCATGTACGGTTTACCCCCTATTCTAACCGGGGGAGAACAAGCCGTTCAACAAGGAGATTCCGAAATTGCGGAGGCTTGGTTTGATCAAGCCACCGAGTATTGAAAACAAGCAATAGTGCTTACTCCTGGTAATTATATTGAAGCACATAGTTGGTTGAAGATTACAAGGCGTTTCAAATAAGAATAGTTTATTATATAATTTATATATTTAGTTTTATAGATTTTTTATATTTGTTATAATTCATTTTCTAGTTAATTGTTTGTTGTCCTATCAAGGATCATTTCTCTAGGAAAAACCAATCAAAGAATTTCATATATACAACCGGGAATATCTAATTAATTATAACTCTTAAACTTGATAAAAGTTGTACATACAGAAAGATTTATTTGCGGTTGTCTCGCAAAACATAAATATGTGTGAAAACTAAACTTACAATAAAAATGACTACTTACCATGATGTCAAAATATGGAATGAGAAATGTTAAGGAAACCCTCTTAAAATAAGACTTTTCATAGACTCTCTGTCGCCTTCCAGTTTACAGTCAATTTTGGTGTCAACATTATAAAACACTCTATTAAAGACATGAAGTGACAAATAAAGAATCTATAAAGAATCTCACTTTTAAGAGAATCTCCTTAGCATTTCTCAATAGGACTTGAGCAAGAAATAAATAAAGATCTTATCATGACATAATAATGTGACATTAATAAAGGGCTTTAATTATATGTGTGACATTAATAAGGGGCTTTATTTGTATGTGTGACATCCAAATCTCGTGGATGTCTTGTACTTGTGCCAGGACACTTAACTGAATCATTAGCATCATTATTAATTTATTTTTTTAATCCATCGATATTTTTACACTAAGGAAATAAGGAGTTCGGCTAAACCACATAATGGGTAGCCTAATTTGGTATCGAATTCATTATCCACGAGATTCAAATCTAAAACCTCTCACTTTCAAGTGAAGATGTGTATAACATCCAAATTAGGGTTTTGGTACAGTCATGTGTTGGTGTCGCACCTAGATTCCCTTTGCATCAAACTATCGTTTCCTATTAGAAATTTTTTTAGTACGTCGGAAATACGGTATGATATACTTCTTTGTTTTTTTCTACAAGTTTCCATCCAATTATATTATTAGAGTAGGTGTACCAAACAGTGACACACTAAAAAAAATTTATTTTCCTACCCGCAATGTCACAGCCCGTCCCCGAATTATTATTATCGGTAATGTAAAATGACGGTTTTATCCTTGGACGTTAAATGATGTGTGTGAGTTATTATTGGGTTAAATTGTTTTAGATTGATGACCCAATTAGAACTAAGACTTTTCTTTGTGTTGATTGGTGGCTTTTGGACCACACACACACCCATCTTTTTCTCTCTCATTCCCGTGCTCTCTCTCTCTCGCAGACTCTCACTCTCTCTCTCCCTTCTTCGAACGAACCAACCCAAAAACCCTCTCAAACCTTGTAGATCGAAGGTTTTAAGATCACCATTGTGTTCGTGAGGACCATACAAGTTCAAAGGTACCATTTTCAGGTAAGGAAACCCTCGAAACCCCGTGAAAATCCTATCTCTGATTTGAGATACTATTCATGTGGACGTAAAATCTTGTGTTTCAGGGAATTTTAAGGACACATGGAGCTTTATAAGGTCTTCATGAGGCTCGGAGTAGTTCGTTGGAAGAAATTGGACGTCAAGATAGCTAGTTTCGAAGTTGGCCAGTTTTCTCGAATTTCTCCGGCAAGAATTTGTGGGTTACAGGTCCTAAAACATGTATAATGTCGTTCCTCTCATCTCCAGCTTTCCAATGGTGCAAATTTCATAGAAAATGGTGAAGAAAAGAGTGAGAAAATAAGATTTTTCGAAATCCCCAGTTTCCGGCGATGGTGACGGTCGCTGGGGATTTAGGAAGAAGACGACGGAATTCCGTCAATTTTGACGAAATATTCTGACGCCGTCAATTAGAGTTAACAGTTACTGTTGGGTTTTAACTGAATATTCCATGGAATATTCCTAACGGCAGTTAGAGAATCCGTTAGGATTCCCTGCGCGTGTTACCGCGCACTCGTCGGCGCATGGCCGCGCGTGAGGGGTCAGAAAAATATTCTAAAAATTTAGGAATGATCCTGAGGTTGTGTAGGTCACTGTGGTATATTCAAATACCAAAATTGAGCATTGTATGAGAAGTTATTAGCTAGTTTTGCCTATGTGCTTTAAATAACGTTTTTATAGTTAATTCGCATATATGTGAGACTTATCCCGAGGACGAGCGTGTTCAAGGGCGACTCGGGGGCTACGACCCTTCGACATACCAGTGAGTGGGCTTTTGGTTTTCAGTATATATTTATATACTTGATATTTTCCCAGAAAAATAAGTTTAAATGAAAGTATGCCTTAAATGCCATGCATATGAATTTATATTTCGTATATGAATTGGTATATGATGCATTATATATAATTGCGGTGCTGTGGACGCTCAGGTAAGCTCAGGTGAGTTATGTTTGGTTATGTGAATTATCAATGATGCGATATGTGATTGAATAATGTTGAGCTCATAAAACTGCACCTAGGGTGATTGTGATTTAGCCAGAGATATGGCACATGCCTGTATATAATGTCACCTCCTGCACCCTATGCTCACATTGGATCCAATTTAGGTGCACAGTCCTGTCGTATAGACCATCTTAGTGGTTCCGACTCGTAGGTGACTAGCGATTTATCGCCCAGCTATTATGTGTGAGTAGTATTGAGCATGATTATATTACACCCATTATTGTCGTACAGACCTTTTCATTTGATTCCGACTCTTGTGCAGTTTAATGTCGTATAGGTCATTGTAGTGACTCCGGCTAGATTGACTTTTGAGCTATGAATTCAGCCGTACAAACTACCACCGAGATTCCGGCTAACATGTTATATTTATATGAAATTATTCTCACCTGAATTGCTTACTCTGTTATATCTTGGCATGGCGTACATATGATTATGATATTGCGAAGCATGATTTGAATTGATATATTTATGTATATGCTTATTTTCTGATTCTAAGAAGAATTATACATGTTTTACAGCGAGGGGTTTGAAATATTGATGAATGAAATGATTTTGTAAAACATTTGTTTTTGCCCACTCACGTTTCCTGTTTTGCGCCCCTCCAGGTTTTAGGTAAGCTTGCTATCGGTGGCCTTGAGGATTTCGGCGGTTCTGACATATCTAAATAATAGTAGGACATTCCTAGTACTGTATAACCAGTACTTGTCATACTGGACTGCACCTAGGCTTATTATGCTCTGATTAGGAGTATTTACTTTTGTAACTGACTCCTAACACTTCCTATTTTCTAGTACACTCTAGTAGTTTCGGTTTTTAAATATTCGTATATTTCTTATCTTAACTACTTCCGCACTATACACATGGCTACACCACCCTCACGTGACAGCCAACATGCCTTGATCTCGGTCGAGGTGTGTCACGCAATCTGATTGTTTTATTCTTAATTCAATTTCCTGCTTTGTGAGGAAACCTAAACATCTACGACAACCACAACCACAACCCTCTCGGTCCCCAGTGCAATCTTGTGAAGAAATGTTTTCCTTTTATAGTGAAAATGAGTGGCAATTTAGTCGTGTACGAGGTATCTATATTTGTGTTGGTATCTACTTACAGGTTGATCGATATACAATAATTCATAACAATTATTGAAACAAAGAAGGGATGGCTTTGTCCAATTCCCTGTCATTCGCAAAAGACATGTCATGTCTTCCGATCACGGGCGAGTTTAGGGCTGCCGCTTGAGGAGTGAGGTTTAAGGACTTTTTCATGTCTCACCAATTTCCAAATTGTCTGTCATTGGCATTTTCTAAATGTACATGAGTGAATTTAAGCATATTTTGAGATTGTAGGGATGTAGCCGACCTACCGAGAATAAGCAAAGAGAGCTATTATTAACATTTTCAAATAATTATCATGATCCCTCATGGATTACTTCGAGACTGACATGCATAAAACACTGTTTGCAAGTGCTGATTACAACTCTGAAAAATATTAGACACATAATTCATTAGGAGAATTTTGGGGTTTTGGGTACAATAAACCGTGACTTTCGGTGCGCCTAAGCATCAATGTAGTAGATGAAGGTATAAAATTTTGTTTCTTTATATCTCACTCATTCATCAATGCAACGAGATATTGTAAATTTTCACGAAATTTCTATTCGCTTAAAATGTAATAGTGTAAAGCAGCCTTTTCATCCGTACAAAAATACATGAGATGTTTTTTCATCGCATGGAGTTGTCAATTTCCAGAACAAGAAGACAATTGGACTGAAGAGGTATTAAGCTAGGACTAGCATTATCTTCTCTCCTCTTTCCATCCCCTTCTATCCTCTCCTCTTATATTCTCTATTTTATCTTTCTCTTTTTATAAAAAATTAATATAAGATGTTATCGTAGCTTAACTATGACCGTTCAAATAGGGAAGGAAACTGCAGGGAAAAAAAGAGGGAATAGAATCATACTCCATTAAGCTAAGCAAAAGTTGTCCTTTCATTTAATAAGGGACCAAGTTATAAGGACGGTATTCTCTCTCCTCCCTCTTTCTCTTCCCCTCCCTTCCCTCCTCTCATAGATTTTTTTCTTCTCTCTCTCTCTCTCTCTCTCTCTCTCTCTCTCTCTCTATTTTATTCTTCTCTCTTTGTAAAGATAAAATCTTGAGTGTTTAAACAGGAGGGGAGAGAAAAAAAAAAGTGGAGAGCTTGCAACCATCAACATCAACATATCCCTTGTTTACTGTTGGTTGGTTACGTAAAGAACCCTTGTCTGTTGTCGGTTGGTTACGTAAAGAATTATTATTTTCCTTCTTACAACCATCAACATTAAGCTTATATCAATTTGAATAAAGAGCTTTTCAGTGGAGCAAAGATTCAATCATATGTCATTTATCAATCTTGTGAGTATTAGCCTTCAACCATTCACGAAGACATGCACAAATAGCAACTATAGGCTCATCAAACATTGCAAAATCCTGCTCAAAAACAAATTTATTTTGCCAATACCAAATAAACCAACAAACAACGAAAAAACTAACCTTCACTCTAAACCTCCTAAATCAGTGGTGAGATTAAAATGAAAACAATCATGAAAATCAATTTGGTTAGACAGTTGATTATACATTCTCAACCTCAGCCAGACTTCTCTTGCCTTAGGACAATCTTAAAAAAAATGAGCTGTTGATTCAAAGCCACAAGTACATCTTTAACACTCAGGGTTATCAGTCGTAACCCTTTCAACCTCTGATCATTAGTTGGCTTATCAAGAATGAGCAGCCATAAGAAACTCTAAACTTTTGAAGGAATACGAAGATTCCAAATGAGATTAGATTGCAAATTAGGAAAACCACTAGAATTAATGGCCAACATATTACCATCACTTGTGTTCCACTCCAAATACACGTATCCTCCAAAGTATCAAAACCAACTAGAATGCTAAGAATTTGTTCAACAATCTCCTTTGGTCAAACAAGTAGTATATACCAATATCCCAACCATTATTGTAACAATAATTAGCTACGGTAGCTTTAAAGCATATCGTTGAAGAGCGGGCAGCTACCATGATGAAGCAAAATACCACATTAGCCCATTTGTCAGTCCAAACTTTTACCGTATTACCATTTCCAAATTCGCCAAAGTAGCCGTTCATACAAAAGTTTAGTCCCTTCAAGAATACATTTCCAAGTGCAAGAAGAGCCAAAGCAGTTTTATCAGAGTAACTGACCCAATGGTCAATGTACTTGCCACTGAAAACTTTTGCCCAGAGACCATTATCCCCTCCATCAATCTCCAAGAGTTCTTAGCAAGAAGAGCTGTTCATAACTCTCATGTTTTTCAAGCCAAGCCCACCAAGAGACTTCGGAAGGCAAACTTAGCCCGACCCTTGTCTGCATACCTAAACTCTAAACCCTAAACCCTGTCTGCATACCATATACTGGGATAGTGGAGGTGGAAGACTGAACAAGACTGGCCCGACCAGCAAGAGATGACAAATCACCTTCCAAGCAGGAAGTCAAGCTTGAGCCATTTCTACCAGGCCTTTGTAGGTGTTTTTAGTAATGCCAGAATGAATGAGACCAGGGCTTTGTAGAAGTGGCAAATTTGATCCAGGAAGACCAGGGAGATCCCGAGAAAATCTTGTTTGCTGAGTACTCGATTAATATTCACAAGTGCTCCTGATCATAAAATGCAAGGAGCTGCTTCACATGATTATGCCAGGCAGCAACGTTTAATCCATCGACTAGGACCCAGTCAACAACAGTTGCTGCTGGTTGCTCCCACCATTCATCAAGCTGCAGAAACGTATTGTAGTTCAGACAATTAAAGAGGGGGAAAACAAGACAACAAAAGAATTAGTACTGCTAACGTAGAAAAATGGACTGTCTATACAACAACCATAGAACTAAAAAATGCAGGCTAACTCCGTGTATGGTGGTCACTCACCAATCCCCTAACATAGTTGCAATCTTCCAAGCACTTCTGAGCACTCAAAATTGCAGCCTTAAGTTCAGGCAACCATTTCTCCATGACAATTTTCTCTTGCTCAGCAGCCATATTTAAACAATAGCTCGTTGTCCTGCAGAGTAGTAGATACAAATTAAGTGCATGTTAATCTAAAACATAGTCAGAGATCCTAAAATGCTAATTAATAACCATCACATATTTGAATGGTTTAATATTTAGAATGAATTTAACGTAACACCAGAGCTATACATCCTTAGTTTTGACAACAGATTAGAACAAAGAGCAAACTGTAATGTATTTAGAATCTGGATGAAAAAAATTCAGAACATCTAGCGCAACAAACCATGTGAATCTCAAATGAAATAAGAAAGCAGTTTTTGGCACTTTCCCTCATCTCACAATGCTCAAAATGGAATTCAAGTCTATATTATTTGACTGAGGTCTGCTTACTGAAACCTTCAGGTTTTGGAGGATAACACAGTCTAGTTTCCTGTAAAATAAGGCCATGTGAAGTTTTACCTTTCATATTCTTGTTGAGCTCTATAGGCATGGTTCAACAATACATGACCACTTTCAACAAGATCCTGTCGTGTATGGACCAAATTGATTGCCTTTACCAAGTCCTCCAACACACTAGCTTCAGAACCACGAAGTTTCAAACAGAATTCCAGGGACTCTAGGATTGATGCTAGGGCAGCGTCTGAACCCTCCAAACCTGTTATCCAGTAAATGTAAGTTCGAACTGAAAGCACTCATTAAGCAGGCACACAAACAATGAAATAGAAAAAAATAACACATCAGAACATGCATATGGTAGCATTCATTAAGCTCAGGCTAAGCATCTTTAAGTTTAAGGAGCAAATTTAAACTGATTATCTTTATATTACTATTGATACAAGTAACAAGCTTAGGGAGCACGAGGTCACTTATGCACAATGTCCCACTGCCTACTAGGGCTTAAAATTATTCAAAACAAGATCCTTGCAGGCTGTCATGTAACAGCACCTCCATACTCACCAGCATGAAATCTAACTTTGCAGTGAGCTTTACCAATTTATTGAAAAACTGATGCATTTTGTTTTTATTCTTAAGTGCAATTGACAAACCATTACACACACAACTCAAAAAAGAAGGCAAAATGGATCTTCTGTTGCCAAGCCTGGGACAAGTGGGGAGGATGAATTTCTTCCAAAACCAAGCCTATAATGGAGGCAGTGCCTTCCAATCTTAGGCATTCCTATAGTGTCATAGCGGATGAATGAAGACTCACCACCAGGATACTGAAGGGCCGCAGATATGCGACATATGGATGGTATTGCTGATGGATCCCTAGCTCCTGCTTTTGCAGTTAATATAGCAGCATTTTTTTCTGCAGCAGCAACAGCTTCAGGTCCAGTAGACCCATTTGTACCCATGGACTCCAATAGTGCCTGATACAAAGTAATTAATGGTTTACATCGTTACATACACAGATTATAGAAGGTGAACAAGAAAAGACAGATTCGTATTTTCTAGCCAAAGAACAGTCAGAAAAACTTCAGGATAATCAAGATCTTACACAAATTATATAAGTCCTGAATTTTAAAATCGTAAAGAGATTATATACAAATTATGATTAGTCGCTAATTATGACAACCTGATAAGGGACATAAGAAACAGATTCATCAATTTTTACTTTCTAGCATTAAACCAATCAATCGCCAACTTAAAAGTAAAAGAGTGATACTTACAGGAATAACAATTCTTTAATAATGATAAAGCCACAAATTTACTCAACAAACCTGTGGAGTTGCTGGAAGCATGTAGAGGCTATTATCAGGACTTTGGTCAAAAGCAGAAACTTCTCTTTCAATAAGATCTTTTGCACCATTTGAAAGATCCATGACTATTGTGCATGCAGGAATAATAGTGCTTGATGCATACTCCCGTGCGGCTAATGGCTGCTGATTCCAGAAGGCAGCAGCATCCTACCAAGTAGAAGACAAAAATAACATTAGAAAATATTCCCGACAGAAGACAAAGAGATAGATAAGCATTATCCTAGCTGCCTCTATTGAAATATTCTACCATATGATACGAATAACAAATGAAAACTATGCAATTGGTGATATCATTTGCATAAGTTCCAGGGAAATTGAAGTCTCCTGGTGAGTTAACCCCAGACCTATAACCATAAATAGGGTCTTTGGGCATCTAAAGAGGAGACCGTGGATTTCATTTAATAAAAAAAGAGTCCATCTACTCATTGAACTGCTAGAAAAATTTGTCTTGAATTTTATATTATATATATGAACTTTTGCCTGGAACTTAAAGAAAAAGAGCCAACGCTCCATGGAATGACCAGACATGGCTTATACAATGCCAGTATATGAAGTGACTAGAAAATTTATAAGCACTGTTGAAGCTGAGATCCTTACCATGTTAACTTTTAGTAATGAGGTATATATGATTTCAAGTTCTGATCTGCGGTAATCAAATTCTTCAATCTTCTTCCACTTCTTTTCAAAGAATCTTCAGCTTCTTTCCTTTCCGCACATAATTTATTTAAGCGTTGTATTTCAGACATCAGTGTATTCAAGCTAGCCCTCAAGCCAGCAACTTCTCTTTCCTTGGCCCAAACCTCCAGCTACACGAAGAAAATGGACGACTGTAAAAAACCATATGATAACACAGTGCAGGCTAAAAGTAACCTAGTATACAGTATACAACTATGAAAAGGATCAAAAGACTGAAACTAATCAAACCTGTCACCCATGGTGCTATTTCCACCCAACTATTGGTAGTTAATACTTTTAATATGCAAGGAAGATTTACCTCAAGTTGCCTAAGACTGCCCACATTTTGTGATGTTCCTGAAGAAATTACATCACTATTGCCATGCAAGCGTTTTATAAGTTTTTGACATAGGTCCCTAGCTTCTGCAGCTTTGTTCAGTGCATCTTCAGTAGCCAAAAATTGCTGAACATGTGCATTCTGTGAACAATATATTCCAAATAACAAGTTAAACTCTTGCAACAAAACAAAAGCAGAAAAGGTGGGGGTAAAATGGAACCGAGCAATTATTTCATGTAAACAGTATGGTCGTTTATGGAATTAGGGTTTAGACCAACTATTATACTTTGGGGATAAATCATTTAAAGAAAGAGTAGGAACAATGTATCCTTGTAGTGAAAATGAGAATGATATGATGGATGATACAAGTGAATAGATGAAAATATAATTAAATATTAATGAAAAGCTACTATCTAGTAAAGAATATAACCTGTCTTTCAAGAAGTTGAGTTCCTCTAGAAGGTGCATCCGCTCTTATCTTTCCATTACCATATAGTTGATAGTGTAATGGTGAACTCACATCAGGAGAAGAAACATCCATAACTCGGTTGTTCTCATACTTGTACCTGATTAAGGAATTTATGAAACAAAAGTCAAGCATATGAAGAATGAATGAGAATTCAGACGCCGAAATGATCGAATTTGAAAAAGGTATGCTATTATTTAAATCAAGCAGCTTCAAGTATTAAAGGTACGAGGGGATTGGGCAGGGATGGGGAGACCATATTATCAACAATCTTTGGCTCAGCTACTCTTCAAAGAAAAAACAAAGAAGGTATATTGTGGTTGAACAGCCTTGTCTGTAGAAGCTAAGGCAAAGAGAAAATTGAATAAACTCCAAATCTCCAACAGAACTAACAAGGAAGTATTTACCTCAAAGTTTCTGCATCAGCTCTAACATCAATTTTCTCTATCTCTCTGGAAATTAGAGATTTCAACCGTGATGTGTATGAAGTAATTGCCTCAAGCAATTGAGGAGGATTCTTCAACCCATTCACAATTGCAGCTCTAACCTCATCGGGTAATTCCCCATCAAAATTAAAGCCTAACTTGGCTGCTTCTAACTGAGGATTCAAATGAATACCACTTCCTTCATATGCAGGAAAAGAACATCGAATTTTTTCTATCATATGTGCTGCAAGAGATTCACAGGCATTTCGGATATTTCTTTCCTTAGTGGTTTCAATAAGAAGTACATCTTCTGCAGCTTTACTGCCCTTAAGAGTTGAATAAACAGCTTCCTTTTCACTATTTGAACCAAAACTGTTAACCAATTCAAGAGATGAATCAACACCAGACCTTTGAGCATCTCTTGCTTGATTAACATAATAACGAAGACGTTTATGATACTCTGCAAATATCTTTTCCGCTTCATCACACTGTTGATAATAAGCCTCCAACATTACTTGCTTATGCCTGCATTAAGATCAAGGATATATCAACATAGCCCGCAATCCACATTGAATAACTAGAAAATTGAAATACTATACTGTGAATATCATTTGCATTTACACGGCCTTCCAAAAAAAGGTGTTATCATTTTGTTGCGTGGATCAATGAACTAACACGATTTTTCAAATAATAAGATCATTCTCAAATAAACCTTGCAAAGAGTAATAGCATAGCATTTCCTCCCTAAATAATCTACGTAGCTCATATCAATCTTGTATATGATGATAATCACATATCACAATAGATTTTACAAAGCAAGTTTTCAACTGAACCAAATCATGTACACATGATAATGCCAATCTTTCAGAAAAGTGCAAACCTTTTTTTAGAGCGTTCATCAAGCATCCTCTTCCGTTCGGCCTCGGCCCTTGAAACCTCCAACATTCTGGCCTTCAAATCCTTCCTCTGCCTCTTCACAATGTTCCTCAACTTCTCCACCTCCTTTGCCGCCAAGTCCCTCTCTTGCAGCGCGGCCTCCCTAGTCTCCGCCGCACTCGTACCCTCCCCAAGCTTCTCCTTTCTCCTACCTCCTTTACTCCTGGTACCCTCCTCCTTCCTCGATTTTACCAATGCGCCACCATCCCCGCCACCGCCACCACCGTGAACCGTTATATTCCTCCGAATATTCTTCACCGTGTTCTCCGACTTCACGCGGGTAATCAAGAAATTCCAAATGGGTATCATGTTCCCACGGCAAATCTTCCTCATCGAGTCGATTGAGGGCAATTGCGATTTGCTAGAAGCAGCACTGTACGGACCCAAAGGCCGGTACCCCATTTCCTTCTGAAGCCATTGCAATATCGCCTCCGGCTGAGCCGCCGCAGAGCTCTGCGACGAGCCCTGCATTCTTCCGTATACAATCTAGACTCTCACGAATCCTCAGAGAACAAAAGCTTCAGAAACTAAATCGCCATCCGCGGCGAACATTCAATCCCCTAATTCGTGCACTGGCAAACTGAAATTGGAGCTAAATTACTTCAAACGCCTCACACTGACACTGCTACCAGCGCCGGGAGAGTGCGAAAGGTTGCGGATTGGGGGCAATGGAGGTGTCTGCGCTAGTTTGTGAGAATTAGGGTTTGGAATTTGGGGGAAAATGTTGGGGAGGGAGAAGTAGATCTGAGACGTCACCGGCGGAGAGCTTATGTGTTCAACGGTAATTTGATGATTTTTAAACAACTGAAACGAGCCGTGTAATTTTGTTTGATTCAAATTAAAATCTACGACAAGACGTACGGTATCAATCCAAGTTGTCAACCTTTTAAATTTAACTAATCAAATTTAATGCTTCCCTTGACATATGCTGATGTGTCAAGTTTTGAGTTTTGAATAAGTTTATACACACTTTTTTTTTGTGTATTTTAATTGTTAATTTTGATTTTCAGAATTATTAAAAAAAATATTTTTAATATTAGTTATTCAATGTTCGTACCACTTAGTGCTAGGTACTATTAAATTTAAATTCTTTGTTTTTAGTAATAATCAGCATCTTTATTATTTTTTTACGAGAGGGAAACTAAATTTAAAATCTAACAACAAAAGTAAATATTCTTAACTAAAAGTTTTTTACTACTAAAATGAAAACAAACAAAAATTTGAAAATCACAGTAATTTAGTGGCTAAAAATAAATATGAGTATGCACGAAGATAAAAAAAAAATATATATATATATATATATATATATATATATATATGTATGTATGTATGTATAAGTCACTTCCCTTAAATCGTCTATTTTTCTTTTCATATAATTTGAGAAATTGAACATAAAACTTGAAGCGGAAATGTGAGGAATTCTCAACCAAAAGCTCCTTACTAAGAAACCGATTTTTTTGAATAAAAATTAGAGTTTGGCGTGCAATGTTTGTCAAGATAATGCGTCCTTTCTATTGTTTCTTTCTCAAACTGTAATATTTATTTGGTGCCCGGTGTTTGTTGCATATAATAGCAAGGCCGACACTTTGATGAACAACAAAGAGTTTTTTTTAGTTAAAATAGTCTATGAGATCGGTAAAATTCTTCACTTTGATTTTTGAGATTTGAAATCGATAAAAGTAGTCATCGAGTTTGTCCACACCAATCATTGAGAGTTGTTTTGTCATTTTATTCTTACTCAATGAAGATTTTCACGAAAATGACCAAAATAATTTATGGTAAACAAACTCAAGGACTAATTCCATTGATTTAAAAAATCATAGACCAAAATGAGAAGTTATATCAATCTCAATGACCATTTTGGCCAAAAAGCCAAAACAAATTGCTAATCTCTTTATAGACCATCAATATGATCCTCGGCCACTAATTCATGCATCCTACCAAAAATGGAAAAGGGTAATGCAAGTGAAATCATTTGTTTAAAGAGTTAACTGCCGATTTGCCCCCTGAACTATCACCCAACTTTCGATTTGCCCCCTGAACTTTTTAATTGGAAAATTAAGGACTTAAACTAATTTTTTTGGCCAATTTGCCCCCTGCTGTTAATTTTTCATTCATTCCATCCAAATTTCTGTTAAATGGAAGCATATGCACAACATGTGTGGGTAGTTCGGTCACTTCATTCTTTAAAATAATTGAAAACCTTAGATTTATAAAATATAAACCTATGCAAATATGTGTGATTTTATAGCTTTTCTGTCTGAAGGTCTAGTGAAATGACGCTTTTGTCCACAAATGAGAGTTACGTGGTTTGCACATGATAAAAGTTAACGTTAATTTGGATGAAATTTATGAAAAACTAACGGTAGGGGGGAAATCGGCCAAAAAAATTAGTTTAAGTCCTTAATTTTCTAATTAAAAAGTTCAGGGGGCAAATCGAAAGTTGGGTGATAGTTCAGGGGGCAAATCGGCAGTTTACTCTTTGTTTAAATCATATTTTGTAAATAATATGACGTGGTTGTCGATGATTAGATTATTATTTAAGTGTTGATTTACATGTTTTTTTTTATTGGCGACACGTCACCTGATTTGCGAATGTGGTCTAAAATGTCTTCTGATTTCATATGTATCATTACTATGGAAGAAAAAATCGATAATATCGGCGATATTTCGCCGATATTATCGGTTTTTTGCTTTACCGATATTTTAATAGGTATCCGAGGAATTTTCGTCAAAATATCGCGATATTATCGATAATATCGCGATATTTTAGATAATATCGCGATATTTTTGGTTTCTCGACAGTCAGTCACAACCTCGCCGGAGAATCGGAATAACTCCGAGCAAGAACGAAACCTGCAACCAAACGGAACAAAATCATCACTATCTTTCAACAAAAATCACCACTTTATACCAAAATCAGTGACAAAATTACACTAATCCGAGAAGCAAGGGCTTGAATTCGAGCAAGATCTGGAAGAAAACAGTAGAAGCTGAGAGATCGAGTACCTCACCGGCAGTTACAGTGCTAAAGATCATCATCTTTGGAAGGTCGCGGATCGGACGGAGCTCAGAGATCAATGAGCAAGCATTTCACAGATCGTATTCGATCAGCGGCTAAAAGAGAGGAGAGAGAGAGAGAGCAGAGGGAGACGCGGACGAGGAGGATCGCGCCGATGGGGACGACGGATGAGAGGTAGAGGTCGCGGCCCGCGGGACATGGTGACGGGCTTGACGAGGAGGAAGGCGAGGGAGGAGCAGAGGGAAAGGAAGTAGAGGGCGCCGATGAGGATGACCGATTTGAGGTAGAGCCACGGGGTGCGAAAATGGGTATGTATGTTGCTTGGCTCTTAGTTGAAAAGGGGTGCGAAACTGAGAAACAATGGATAGATTGAAAGGGATGGTCTGCTACGGAGAGATAGAGAGCCTTTTGAGGCTCTGGGCTCGAGGCAAGGGCAAAATATGTAGCAGCTGCTAGGGTTTTTCAATTCAAACAGGAAGCTGCTGCATCAGCATATATTGTAGTTGTTGCTGCACTTTGACACAAGTGTGGACTTGGACGTGTTGGGCCGTGTTTCTCTTCAATAGCACCAGGTCTTCAGTTCGAATCCAGGTGATCTTTGTCCTTTTTCTTCTTTTCTTTTTGTTTTATTATTTGTTTATTTTAATTTCTTTGTTTTGTTTTCTATTTTCCTTTTCTTCTAGTTTATTTATTTTAGGCTTTTGTTTTATCTTTTACAGTTTTTATTTTTGTTCTTCTTCTTTTATTTTTGTTTTATTATTTGTTTATTTTAATTTCTTTGTTTTCTTTTCTATTTTCCTTTTCTTCTAGTTTATTTATTTTAGGCTTTTTGTTTTATCTTTTTTACAGTTTTTATTTTTGTTCTTCAATCTTTTGTTTATTTTTACACACCTTGAGGACAAGGTGTGCAATAAGTTTGGGGGTGGGAAAGTAAAATTTTAGGATTTTAATTTTTTAGGCTTTTGTGTAAAATATTGTACTAATTCATTATATATAAATGATTATGGTGTGTTTAGACTTCTTTCATTAATTACTACATATTTTCTACACTCATAATGTTTGTTAGCTCGCTATATAATCAACTTGATAATATTAAATCCATCATGCAATGCATTTCCTTCCAATTTTTGTGTGATAAACTAATAGATAATTGACTAAATAAACATCCTGCAAAGTTTCAATAAAAATTTTCAAGTTTTTCTTACAATTTCCGTGGTTTCCATATAATTTTTATCGATATCGATATTTTACCGATATTTCCATCGATATTTCCGTGTTTTCGGACTACCGATATTTCTGATATTACCGATATTTTCTTCCTTGATCATTACACATGAAAAATTAGAAAGAATGAGTGTGAGAGGACAAAGAATGATTCTAACTCTTTGACTTCTCATATAAGAAATGAAAAACAAAGGTAGGTCTTACCTTAATTTCTGAAATCAAACACAATGGTATCTAGAATTTGCATCACCGATTCACTTAATGAGATAAAATTAGTGGTTATAGTTGATAAGAAAACAGATCATTAACAATAAAAAAAAACATACCATGGGTAAATACAAAGAAAAATTAAAGAACAGAATAATTACAACTCCTAGCCAATTCAAGTAAACATGTCATGACAATTTATACTTCACCAATAGAAAAGATAAATAAATAGACACCAATTTTTTAAGGTTCTACCAATATAAATACGCTTAAATATCAAAATGGTCTCTGTATTTTACTTTATCGTCTAATTTAGTCACTGTATTTTTAATATGGCCAAACTGGTCCCTATGTTTACATCCGTTAGTCAATTAAAGACAATATGTTAAAAGACAGTTAATATTAACATGTCCTAAACTATGTAGTACTCAAGTGAATTAAACAAAATGTCAATTTCTAAAGATAGACATCATATTTATTTAGTGGGTGATTATGTTTTTTGTCATCTCGCGTGCCTGACACATGTCAATTTTAACGTTCCTCTAACGGATTGTCTTGAATTGGCTAACAGATGTAAATATATAGACCAATTTGACAAAATTGAAAACACAAAGACTAAATTGGTCTATAGAGCAAAACACAGATACTAAATTGGCCTATAGAGTAAAACACAGAGACCATTTGACATTTAAAGCATAAAAATATAAAAAACACAAAACTTTTTTTTTTTTTTTGGGGGAGAATTATTTATTTTATATTTGGATTGGGATTGGGATCATTAAAGTAAAGTTAATTTCCATTGTTAATGCAAAATAACATATGAAGGAAATATAGATTCTTCCTTCCACCCACCCACCGTCAGGAGACAAAAGATTAAAGGAGCGCATTCATGGCTTCTATCTCCCAAAATCCAAAATACAACGAAAGTCCAACACATATTTTACAAATTCGAAGACCCAAATTACTCAACCCACCCACCCAAATTTAGCATCCGATTTTTTAATCATCTATTTATCAAAACACCCAGTTCCTGATTCTGCTGAATTTCCGATTCCTTGGTGACACTTGTCTCTGTCCATCCACCAATATCAATCTCCATCTCTCTCCTTCCACTTCCTTCCCACCTCTCTCAGGTACTATTCAATTTAAAAATCTATGTATCTGTAATTTTTTCTGATACTTATATGCTTTCTGCAGTGTTTTGAATATTCATGTATCAGGAATGAATTGATATCTGCAGAAGGGATTGATTTTTTTATTTGTTTGCTTTTTCTGATAGTGGGTTTTATTCCATGAACATTCTGATTGCTGCAAATTTGATTTTTGCAGTTGGGTTTTGTTTTTTGAACCTTTTGGATGTTCCAAGATTTGATTTTTGCCAAAGGGTCTGTCTAATTACATTGGTTTATGTGTTTTTCTGGGTTCTTTTAATTCAATCATCTTTGAAAAATTGGAATAACTGCTTGTTTTCCTTTCACAATTTACTTTTTAAAGTTTTTGGATAGACTGACTTTACCTTCACATTTCTTTGAATTTTTGTGTTGGTTGGTATATGCCTTTCTTTCACCAGACTAGAGGGAGGGTGAGGAACCAAAAGATGGTTGCTTTCTGAATAGATGTGGGGAATTTATGTCTTAAAATACCTCTTTGGTGGAACATTATAATCATAATGACCTTCTCAATTTTCTATGTTTACTTATTATTGAAGTCATGGTATTATGTAGCTGCAATTGGTTAGGTGCTTACGATCTTTCGCAGGAAACATGACAATGACATGATTGGTTTATTTCAAATGTATGAACTCTCTGTACCATTAAACTGATCAACATGAATTGCATTTTTTTGGGTCTTTTGCAGCTGGTGAATTTGTTTGAGGATAGCACTCTTGAGTCTTAGATCTTTCCTTGTCGATGTTGTTGTTTTGTTTGAAACTTGAATATTTACTGTCTTCTATTTTGCAGGTGAAGAATATAACCTTAGGTTATACCAAAACCACTGAGGCATTCAACATTGTTAAATAAAAGAGGGAGGGTACTAGTCCGCAGAGGCAGTGGAACTTCTGCGAGCTTTGTGTCCTCTCTCATACTTGTCAAAGTACAGTTATTGCTCCTAGCACTCTTTTGGTTATTACACGAGTGGAGCTTGGTTGGTTTCGGTCGATGAGAGTGTGGAATTGTTGCCGAGATTTATTTTGAAGCTGGCACAATGGGTTCTGTTTGTTGTTGTTTGAATGCTGAGGATTTTGAAGATTATGTGAATCCAAACAGTTCTGCATATAGGGAATGTGTCTGTCTTCGTTGTTTTCTTCAGAACTTTCTAAATGTGGTATGCTTTCTGCCTTCGTCATCCTCATTACTGAACTAATTCTTCTTTTTTCTTGTCCTTTTTATTTTCTGAGTTCCACATATTTAGAATGCATAAAAGTTTCATCATAGTTCTTTTGTTTATTTGTAGTTATGCTCAGTGCTGCTTTTGTGCCCTCACTTATCTTCTATTGCATTGGCAACCCTGTGGATATTTTGCTGGAACAAATTAAAAGCCGTTTTTTCTAGTTTACTTTTGATTGCTCAAGTAGGCAGGTGCTCACTGTTTAGAAGTTTTGAAGAGTATAAAAACTGAAACTGATGCTTCTTAAGATATTAATATTGATGATAAAAACTTAAATCTTCAAGATGGAAGTATAACGTGCTATCTTCTCTTATTTTGCAGTATACATCACTATTCAGAAGAGGGGAAGTGCATTCAATCCCCTCATCCATTCAGGGGGCTGCATCAATGAATTCCTCGGGATCACTTGACAACTCCTTATCTGACATGTATCGTTCGCCTCCAAGGCCCTTGCCTTATGATGCTGACCCTAGATACATCCGGTTACAGCGGGATGGGTTGATTTCTAGGCGGGAGAAGGGCTCAAGCCACTCTCATGAGGAGGCTGAACCTCTAAGAAGTGATACTGATGCAGATTCTGAAAGTTTGAGTACAGGAGAAAAATGGAATGGCTCTGCTTGTGAAGATGGGTCAATAGAACATCGTTCCAAGTCCTCAATGAAGTTATCATCAGCCAAAACCACAACTGGAGTTGGGAACTTCTATACATCATCAGAGGATGAGGATGTTTGCCCAACATGTCTTGAAGGTAATTTTTATTTGGGTTTCTTTGACTGGTGGTGTTTCTCCTTCTTCCTCAATCTCTAGTACCAAAGTTTCTTCGTATATACTTTTTTGTGCGTCTGATGGTCGTTTCCACTTTAAAATACTCGACATGAATGATGACCCTGTCCTGTTTAGAATCTGGTAATTGCAAATGTTTGTTTACCGAATTGAATAAACTCAAATACATATGCAAAGGGTGCATTTTCATGGTGCATTTGCTTTGCTTCCCTAGAAATTCCGCTCCTTCATTAAGTTGGGTCCGAAGCTAGGAGGGAAGGGTCTGGGTAGTGATATTCACCTCCATTCATGTCAAATTCTAGCTTTGCTAGGATAGAGTGTTAAACGCACTTAAGTGGATTTGCAATATTTGTTGCAATTTTGATTGGTTTACGGTTCTGGAAAGTGTACCCTTATGGTACATATAACTTCTGATATATAAATTCTCATTTTTTTTTCCGTTGTCGTTGTATGCAGAATACACGCCAGAAAACCCCAAAATAATGACAAAATGCTCTCATCATTTTCACCTTGGTTGTATATATGAATGGATGGAGAGAAGTGAAAGCTGCCCTGTTTGTGGCAAGGTAACATTTTCCTTCATAATGATGATAATCTGTAGGTCGTAACGGCTTTTAGTTTTCAACTACAGTCAAGTATTTGTGTTACTTTGTTACGTTATAGGCAAATTCCACCATTGCCGATGTATTGCTATGCATCTTTCGTATTTTATGACTAGTGGAAAGATAACTGTTCTAGTCTACTGCAGTCACGTGAAGGTTAGACGTTTTAACGATTTATTTTTGTTCCTGAAGTACTCGAATATCTTTTTCCCTCACGAACACGCACAGACTCGAGCTGCTTGATCAAGCAATTTGGTTTTGTACTGTCGATTATAAAAAATAAGAAAGTCCATCCTAAAGTTATTTCTCTAGGCTTTTTATCTGATATGACAAATTGTAATAAAGCATATTGCTTTTCTCCTGCAACCTCTATTGTTTTACTCTGGATTTATATGTTTGGCTTTCTAGGTGATGGCATTCGATGAAACGACTTGATCGCGATCGAAAAGGTTTGCGTCGTTGATGAATCCAACAACTTCGGAAGAGAGAACACTACAGAAGTGATTTCATTGTCAATACCACATGTCAAAAAGTGTCCTTTGATAGTACATATAAACTTGATTTCTGATTACTTGTAATTAAATTTTCATTCTATATAAGTTTTCAGCGAAAAGAAATTTATTTGGTACTTCTTGCATTGGCACAAAACCGAGCGTTGTGGCGTTCTAGGATTATATAGGCTCCACTTAGTGGGATAAGGCTCAGTAGTTGTGTTCTTGAATTGCTGTGGTCATTGAGTAGTAATTGTCTTCTGTGGAGTAGAAAGTTGGTTAAACTATGAATAATTTTTTCACTTCTTTCTCCCTTAATGGTGTCTCTTAAATCTCACATCAGATTAGAAAGACTGAACAAAGCTTGTTAAACCCCACCCCCATTTTTCATCCTATTTCTATTTTTCCCCTAGAACATATTTGTTATCTATCAATTTAGTCCCTTATTCTCTTTTAATCCTAACCCTTGATCTAGAAAGGCTATTGATCTTAAACTGCCATGTGGCAGCTCTCAGATCCCTCTTTCCTTTCATCTCTGCCCGAAACTCATCTCAGAATCTCAATGCTCTCTTTCTTTCGGTTTCTTCTCTCTCTCTCTCTCACACTCTCTAAGCTCCGAGAGCTTCTCTCTAGCTTTCACCTCACTTCCCTCACAAATCAAACCCAAAAAACCATATATTTGGGATCCTTGAGACTTAACGAACTCAACGATACCCTTGCATGCGCCATCTTAGCACCGTGGGTTTTTCTGCCATTGAAGCCGAGAGCTTCAAAGCTCTAAAACTCGAACCCAGGTAAAGATTGTGTTCCTTCAAATTTCTGGGTTATGCATGCTGGTTTTATGACAAAACTCAAGGGTTTTGATCTCAGTTTTTCACTGTGCTAACAATCTAGCTCCGACGACGAACTCCGACGAGTTCGAGGTCCATCTCTTCCCAAAACCTGCTGCAGTGCGTCCAGGTGAGTTCTTAGGTATATTTGTGAAGTTTTAGAACCCCTTATTCAAGCCCTAACTCTTACCATCCCTTGTGCATGCATGTCCGGTTCCGACGACGAACTCCGGCGAGTTCGTGAGTGTGTGTTTGTGCAGTGTGTACGTTGTGCAAGTGTGTGTGCGTGAACCGTGTGTGTGTGTGTGTAAGTATGCTTGCTGTGCGTGTGTGTGCTTATATATATATATGCATGCTGTGCATGCGTGTGTTTTATATGTATGTATCTATATATATATATATATATATATATATATATATATATATATATATATATGTATATATATATATATGCATGTTGCCTCTGTGTGTGTATTTATATATATATATATATATATATATATATATATATATATATATATATATATGTGTGTGTGTGTGCATGCGTGGGAGTGTGTGTGTTTATATATATATATTTATGTGTAAATGTTTGGTGTGTGTGCCGTGTGTGTATAAGTATGGGTTGGGCTCAAGCCCAAACCACCTCTTGATCCTAACCTATCCAAATCCAAGGCCCATTTCCATTTCCTAGAATTATATTGTTGGGTAGTTTGATTAACTGTACGTTCTTGTACTTAGGGACACTTATCGCAACGTTTCTGTCTTCACTAGTGGCGCAGCTTTTGATGGAGTATCTGTGAGTGGACCACCTTCGAAAAGTTGCATGTTTTATTGGTAGAACTGCATAATTTAATAGCATGCCTTGCAGAATTATTTGAATTGAGGATCGATGAATTTATGCTACGAAGTTGTATTTTAGAGATGAATTATGTTTTGTGCGTACCTAGTGAACACTATGCCGCCTGGGGCGAGGATCTGGTGTTGGCATTGAGGCCGGGAGAAATAATCCCTAGCGAAAGGCTGAGGGACACGGAGACAGGCATTGGGCCGGGAGGGAGATATCTCTGGCTACGGGCACAGAGACTAAGGTGCAGGCATTGGGCCGGGAGTATTATTATTCAGTGCACTCACTAGCAGCACAACTTGTATTATGCTTTTTGATATGATTTTTTGAGATTGATTTGCAGAAAGATATATGAATTGTTTTATGGCATGCTAAAGGTTTCTGAAAAGCTTATCACTTATTATTCTAGTAGTTTTCATTATTAAACTGTGGGGGTTAGTATGTTCATAACTGTTTTCATACTTTGTATGTATATAAACTTGGTCCACTCACCTTTGTTTTGCGCCCCCATTCAGGTCTTAGAAACGAGGCATAGAATCCCGGCATTAAGGTACTTCCGCAGCGGCATCTTCGAGTCCTCTCGGGGTAGGACCTACTCCTTGTTCATTCAATCTTATCTTAATTCTTGTTAGTGACTAGGTTTAGTTGTATGCTCTGAACACGTTCCTAAATTGTTAATTCATTGTTTTTAAATTCATAACTCGTATTTATTTCTTATTCCTAGCTTTTGTATCAATTAATGGCTTTCGTCACCCTCGGGTGTCGGCCAGCACGTGTCTACCCTGATATTCGGGGAAATATCGGGGTCGGGGCGTGTCAAAGCTGGCCGAATTGTTTATTGGGAATTGTTATCAGCGCGCTAAAATACTGAATGCAAGGGAATGTATTTTTATCGGGTAGAACTAAAAGCAGGATAGGTAAGGATAAATATATGCAGATGAATGTCGAGCGCTCATTTGTCGGATATTTGATATTTTATTAGACTGTAAATCAAGATTGCACATTCAAATATGATTTCGCTCGATTAACGATTGTCATTAACAATACTGTAACATACAAAATTTTTGAACAAAAGGAAATTGCTCAGCATTTAAAACATGTTTCCAAGGCTGCATATTCTTGTTAGAGCCACATAGAGAGACTGCTTTGAGATGGGAAGTTGCATCATTTTGTGGCTGATTCAAAGGCAGAAAGACCTCAGTTGGCTGAGCACCACTAAGGTATCGTTTGGTATGCAGACGGGACGAGACGGAACGGAATGGGACGGGACGGGACAGCTACCGTCCAAAAAATAATAATAATATGTGGATCCGGATCAATGTATTAGCCAATCAAACATAAATAAAACGAAATAATTATCAAACGGGTCACAATTTTTACGAAATGTGAAGTTTTCATCATCCACTGCAAAATATGGGACTCCTTTTTACTCCTGAGTACTTCTTGAGCTCTTCCATGACCTTCTCAGTTCCATAAAAAAGAATCATAAATAAGAAAACCACAATGCGCTGTTTTGTTTTTGCTCGTGTTTAATTCTTGGTTGTTCCCGGATGTATCACCTTCGTCGTATGTCTTATTACATGATGGTTACGTGATGAGAGCTACATAGAGATGGAAATATATCTCTAGTTGTATGCTAGAATCTTTCGAAGAACATTCCTCATTGAGCCGATTGTTAGGGCCCCTTCTACATCAACCTTTTCAACACGTTGCAGAAGAAAATAAACGATTCAGATCACTGAAATACAATGTAAGCCCTTCGAAGGTGTCCCTCGAATAAACTAAGGATTCCTCCTCCCTCTTTATATGGATTTATACGTTGATATTCTTGGTGCATGACAATAAACCAAGGATCCCTCCTCCCTCTTTATATGGATTTGTACGTTGAGATTCTTGGTGCATGACGTCTTACATCTGACATACGTTCCTCGAACACTTCGGACACATCTTCGCGGAGCTTTTTCGTCGTAATACTCTTTCCTGTGGGTGCCTATTTCAGGGCCATCGGGGTCGAGTTAATACGGACGCTATCGGAGCTCGAACTCGTATCGATCGTTACCTACCACCAGAGCTTAGTCGAGATTTCTTTTCGCCACAAAGCACCACGGACACACAGTGTGTGCAACTATATCAATTTCAACAGGTTTTTTCCTTCTAGCCATATCGATTGAAATGTGCATCTGCAAAAGATGGATCAAACAAATGGAGCTAAACGTACGAGGATCTGATGATGATTTTGTTTTAAAGTTGTTCATGCATTGGCTTAGTGGGTTTCGGACAACCTTGTGGACTGCAAACGTTGGAAAGTTTTACAACCTACCACGTAGCTCTTGTGCTTTAAGTTTGAGTTTTCATGCAAACAAAATTTTGACCTGGCTAGTATATTTTGGCATGATGAATATTTCTCATCTAAATAATATAACTATTTGCTTGCAGTGCTTAAAGCTTTTAGTCTTCTGCCCGAGCATCTGTGTTCGATTCCTCTTCCTTGATATCATTCGTATGAAGAAAAAAAGGAATAGAATAATATTTTCAAACGACTTTCAGAGTTTGCCTATCGATGTAGTTGTGGGCGTTGCAGAAACATGTCGAAGTTCAAGCATTTTAATCTTACTAGCAACGTGATTCGTGAAAACACAGCGATTTGAAACCATGAACAAAATAAAGGAACAGAGAAAACCCGGTGTCACATGGATAGACATATAAACAAACCATTGATGCACATTACACTCAGAACCATTAGCATTCTTACATCACGCGAATAAATAAAAGTTTCATGATTCACACTCAAACAACATGAAAATTACTCGTATGTATTGAAAATATATTTCCAACGTTGGATTCTTATCGGAGATGGAGAGCGAAATCTCGTATACATGAGGTTGCAGTTGCATCACTTTGTAGCTGCTTCAAAAGCTCTCAAGAACACCTCAGGCGGCTGGCCGCCACTTAACGCTTGCTTTCCGTTGTTAATCTGCCGAAAGAACCAAGGGATTCATAAGTAGAGGATCTATTAAGCTAATCCAACAAAAGTTCAACATTCATATATGTGAGTTTTCATCACTCACCAAAAAATGTGGGACTCCATTGATGTTTCTCGAGTACTTCTTTAGTTCTTCATTGACCTTCATTTTATTAACGAGCAACATCAGATTTATCGCAAATATAGACGGTTGTTTCTAGCCAGATGTACTTACCAGGTACATATAAACAGAATCTTATAAGTTGAATCAGTCGATCTTCAAATCTACGTTATGTTCTCGTTTGTTAACTTGGCAAATAATAGCAACGTGAAGGAATCAGCAAACAAACCTCATCGAGCCCATTGTTGGGGTCTTCAAGAAACTCTGCGGCCCCTTCTACTCCGACCTTTCGAGCACTTTGCAGAAGATATTCCCTGTATCCAAATTGCAAATATTTGTGTTGTGCCTCTTAATTCAGATTTAAGGATGTAAAAGCATTTACTTCTACTTCATTTGTTCTCCCATGGAAGCGGTTCACAACATTTGACACATAACTATAAAAACAAAGAAATCACTACATACAACCCTAAGGCATACAGATGTAAACTCATCGAAAACTGGCCTGAAACTCTGCGTAATTACCTGTCCCCGATGTATTTTGCCTGTGTGAAGTATCCTAGAAACAGTTCACCCACAAGATCGTGTTGCTTATCATGCCCTTGAGTCCCAGCAAAATAGATAAGCCTGTGGCTATCTAGAGTACTTCCCCTGTACAATTTCGACACAATGCTAATAACTAAATACATAAACTGCAACCCAAGTTCTAACAAAACCTTTTCCGGGATTTCCTTCCATCACGAATTTGTTGTTTACAGTTAACACAATCAGCGTAACAATGGAAAAGGAAGAAATAAGTATCCTTTACACTTACGTGAGTCCGGACAGGTTATATTCGAGGCCATGGCTTCTGAAAATCTGCACTTGTCAAAGGGGACACAGTGAGTGACCGGACAGATGAGAGGAAACATGTATTTTATGTGTTCGATTTGTACAGGTGAGTCATAGAATTGCAGCGATACCTCTTGCATCCGAGTCTCCATTTGTTTCGACCTACTAGACCCGAATTTTTCCTCGTAATAACTTCTCTTATCAACGCCTTCTTTAGGCGCATTGGGATTAAGTTGGAATGGATGCCATCTAACCTGAAAAGTTCATATATAGTGACAACAATTTAGGATGGAATCACGGCACAACACAAAACCAACAACTTATATACACTTAGGGTCGGTTTGGTACTGCTTTTGTAGGAAGCACTGCTGCTCATAACCGCTTTTACTATAAGTGGTTTTATTAAAAACACAGTCAAAATAGTTTTAATTTTTCCTACCAAACCTATTCAGAAGCGTTTTTTGTTGTCAAAGACGGCTTTTAAACAACACCATCAACAACAACAACAACGTCAACATCAACAACAACAGCCAACAAAAGGGAAAAAGAGAGAACCTCAAAGTTGAATCGATCACGAGATGCCTCGAAAGCTTTTTCAAGATTTCTCTTGCCCACAAAGCACCACGGGCATACCGTATCCGAAACGATGTCGATTTGGATGAGCTTTTTCACACCAGCCATGTATCTACTTCTACCACAAAATTAACGGCAGTTAGAACAATTCCCTTGGGCAATTTTGACATCAAAAGCCAACCAACATCTACCAACATATCCATACAAATTCGAACACAACGATTGATGAAACAAATGAATCTAGTAAAGTAGAAAGCTTTGATGCCTTCATTAAAAGTTACTAAGCACTTAGGTTACCTGTCTGTCTGTAAAGACTGTAAATTCTGTAATTTTATCAAGAGCTTGCGTCTTTGGAGAAAGAGAATGCAATCGCAATCGCACTCGCACGTACTGGCTTTATAGATGCACTGCGGACTTTTCCATCTTTTTATTTTCAGGCTATTACCCACGCAACGCAAAAGTCAATGAGAGATAATCTTGAGTGGCATATTTGATCAAAAAAAAGTGGAGGACTTGCATGGCATTTTGACGCGATCCAATGCCTCAGCGATGCATAAACAAGATTCTAAAAAATGATAGGTGCTAGTCGGGCGACGGGTTAGCGCCTAATGCCTAGCTCCTAGGCAGCTAGAGCAGGGTCTATGCGGCCTATAAGGATTTAGGTAAATTTCTAGTATATCTTGTAAATAAGTGCATATTGATACTTACAAAAAATTATAATTATATGAAATTTATAGATATAATAATAAAATAATGATAAAATGCAAAAAGAGTATCCAACAAGTCCAAAATTTAAAAACACATTAAGCATATATGTCATATAACCATAGTGAGGAGTATTGTAGGATGATATATGTACAACAAGCTCACAATTTAAAACCACATATTCAACAGATTTAAGTAAATTTATTATATATCGTATAAATAAATGTTTGTTCATATCTAAAATATACATAATTTTATTTAGAATTATAAGATAATCAAATTTAAACATTAAATAATATGTTTTTTTTTAAGCGAGAGCTTTAGCATTTTAAGTACATAATAAAAATACATATGGTATGATCTTAAAAAAAAAATAAAACATTACAACAAAAAAATTAAAAAAGAATGAAAAGTAATAACGGGGTTAAGAGTGGAAAAAGAAAAGGGTATAAAAAGTAGTAAAAAAAAAAAGGAAAACTAATGAAAAGTGCTTAAAAATTTTAAGTTTTAACGATAAGGATAAAATAAATGACAAAATGAATAGTATCAAGATTGACTTTGTAGTGTAAAAATGTGGTTTTTCGTTAAAGTGAACAGTACCTGAAGCTTTTTGTTAAAGTTCATTTTAAAAAAATGGTGGGGACCATTCAAAGAAAACGTGCAGGCTGCAGCTATAGATCCTTTTCCTAGATAAAAGATGGTGGGACCATCTTAATTGAATCGTGCAAAGTAAGGTTTGGAACAAAGTCGTCTTCTTCGTAGAGCCAACTCTACAACAGAAAAAATTGCAAATTCCAGCTTGTTCATATAAGCCCAATTAGTCTCCGTCTAGTCCTGCCCAGACTTGCATATCTCCACCTAGTCCCACCTAATGTGCTCTCCAATTTTGTAGCCGATTTGGAGTTAAGCGCAGCGGTTGGCCGTCGTCCAACACCTAGGTGGCCGCCTAGGCTGATTTTTAGAATACTGTGCATAAAAGGTAATGATATTTTTACCCTCAAAAGTCAAAAGTTTTCCTGGTTGATGGACTATATGACATGGTGGTATGTCATCCTAATGAAACTAGGAGAATCCTCTTTGTGAGGATATTGGGAATCCTCAAATCATGACTGTTCATCTTATAGCATGCGGTCAGTTTTCGTCATGTATTACTTATATTTAATTTTAAATAAAAGTATTTAAAATGATTTCTGACCGTATGATGTACGATGAACGGACACGATTGATTAATCTCGCGATCAATTTTCGTCATGTATTACTTATATTTAATTTTAAATAAAAGTATTTAAAATGATTTCTGACCGTACGATGTACAATGAACGAACACGATTGATTGATCTCTGGGGATCAATCAATCGTGTCCGTTCATCGTATATCGTGCAGTCAGTTTTCGTTAAGTACTATTTCTATTCAATTTTAAATTCAAAATTCAAAATGATTTCTAACCGCATGATGTACGATAAACGGATTCGATTGATTGATTCTCCGGATCCCCACAAAGAGGATCCGGAGATGATCCTATTCCAAATAAAAATATGTGTAATTTGTTTGTTTAAGTATCGTTTTTTCTTACCACTTAGTACTACGGTCTAGTAGTATTCCTCTTCAATTGTAAGCGAGATGTCTTAGGTTTGATTCTCATCAAATGTGAATTGAACATATTATTGATTGCCCATTATGAGGCTAAGTCCACCCCCTTCCCGTTAGTGTAGATAATCGTTTATTAAAAAAAAGTATTGTTTTTCTTATTGGCATGAGACATTATGTGACGATGTATTTGTGTCATATAAATTGTTCATCTCAGGTGGACTACACATGACAAGAAGGGACGACATGTTAGACTGAAAATTTGAAAATCTAATAGTAGAAAAAAATTGGCTAGTTATAAAAATTCATAAGAGTAATTAGTAGTGCCTCATAAGGTCAGACGCAAATTGACGAATAGTTCTTAAATTATACAAAAAATAAAAAAAATTGAAACAAAGACATATTTATTTAGACTAAAGTGGGACAGAATAAATTAGTTGTGAATTTTGAAATTTGAATTTAGGATCACTCACTCATAAACGAAGAAGAATACCAGTAAAACATAATATTAACTAAAAAAATGTGTGTTGTTATTAGTAATAAAAAAATCATTGTGCATTGGTCTGTATTATTTCTCAACTTAAAAAATCTTGAGTGTAATTAAATTTTTAGAGTTGCAATAAAAAATACATAACCTTCACTAACAATATGCTTGGATGAGGAAAATAAACTTGGAATTTTGACAAAAGTCAAAATTTATAAGTTGACATGCACAAATGTCCTTATTTGTATTTATAAACATAGAATTACAGAATTTTTGAGTGGAAAAAAATTTGGAATTTGAGACCTTCAATTCTCAAGTTTAAATTCAATGTAAATATGTGTTATTTCTAAGTTTCTACGAGTGAGAATTTAAAAATAAGAATTATGTATTCAAATTCCATTATTCTTAGGTTAACCAAATAAGAAAATTCATAAATCATAGAAAATAAAATTCCATCATTTATATCTCTGTCATTTTAAAATTTCATAGTAATCTTAAATTTTCTTGTTCAGGCACAAATGTAAATTTATTGAAATATATTTTTGTGGTGAGAAAATTTCATTGGTTCTACACAGCTGCGTGCGTGTCATGCATGCGGGCCTCAACTACTGACCCGACCCGACTCCGCCTTCACCTCCCAGATTCTCGGAACACAACATGTAACTCTTTATATTTCACAGATGATCAACGGCAACCATTTTTCAGTTTCTCCCTTCTTTCTTCCTCTTCCACTTTGACTCCTCAGGTATCTCCACCACTCGCCCTCTCTCTCTCTCTCTCTCTCTCTCTCTCTCTCTCTCTCTCTCTCTCTCTCCTCTGCTTGGCTGCCGAGAAAATCCAACCAAACAGAGCACCCATTTTGTAAAGCTCCCAACTTTCTCCTTTAATTGGATTCAAATTTGTTAACTTTTTTCAAATTCGTTGACTTGCAAGTTTGCAACTTTGTGGTTCAATTTGTGAAGGACATTTATGAAAATGGACATTGATGAGCTTCTGGGTCGCAACCAGCCGGTCAGCATTCCGACGAAGAGTGCGATATACGTGTGGGGATATAACCAGTCCGGGCAGACGGGTCGGAACGGGAAGGAGCAGCAGCTGAGGATCCCGAAGCAGCTCTCGCCGGAGCTTTTTGGGTGTACGGCGGGGGCTAATTCGCGGTGGCTGGACATTACTTGCGGCCGCGAGCACACCGCCGCTGTTACCTCAGACGGGTCGCTTTTCACTTGGGGTAATTAAGCTTTCATCTTCTTTTTTTTTTTTTTTTTTTTTTTTTAATATTTCTGTTAATTTTTATAAATTTCAATTCTTCCATTTTTGAATTTAATCAAATTGCAAATTATGAGTAATGATAAATGGTTGATTTGTGGTGGTTGATGAAGTAAAATTGATCTTTCTGAAAAAAAATGAAAGTAAATTTGATGACTTTTGGTGAATAAAATCAGACGGTTGTTTTTTTACCCGGGTTATGATTCATCTGTATGGCTCTGTGATGATAATATTTCAGTTATGAGTTCAATCAATGGCATTGTGGGAACGAACGATTTCCCATCTTAAACCGCCATTTCTCGGTTTGGAAATGGTTGATTACAATGATGGAGACAAGTCGTATGTTTGTGATAGTTAATGGAGTAAATATGTATTGTGTTTGCAATTGATCAGGGGCTAATGATTTTGGTCAATTGGGAGATGGAACGGAGGAGCGAAGAAAAAATCCGAAGAAAGTGAAGCAATTACAGGCAGAGTTTGTGAAATCTGTGTCTTGTGGAGCACATTGTACCGCTGCCATTGCAGAACCTCGTGAAAATGATGGAACCGTCTCAACAAGAAGGCTTTGGGTGTGGGGGCAGAATCAGGTCCTACTATGATTTTCTGTAGCGTCATCCCTGCTTTCATTCCTCTTTGGCAGATAATAATTTGTTTACCTTTCCCCTACTTCTCATGACAGGGATCGAATCTTCCACGTTTGTTTTGGGGAGCCTTTACTCCAAACACGGTATGCTACACTTCCTATTCATTATGCTTTTCCTTATAGGTTGGAATTGTTCGGTCTCAGAATTACGATTTCAAATGACTCGGTATGAGCTCATCAGCTTTCAGTTGTGGGTAAAATCATTTTCTTTTATCAGGTAAATTGGTTCTGTTAAGAAAAAGTTGGGGTGGTAATTTTAATAACCTTGATTAGTATCATCACCCGGGTTGGTTGATGAACAACTGCTAGGGTTTACTGTCACTGCAGGAAATGCATAAAAAAAGTTCGAAAACTAGTCTTAGGTCACAACTCCAAAACCTACGAGAAGATAGAGATGAACACCTGTCGTATCGAATGCTTCAGAAAAGGATCACTATATAGTGAAATGCTTTTATAAGGGTAGAGTGAATGGTTATCAAACTTAATACCTGCAACTTACTAGAAGGTTTCTCACAGATTATCCGTCAAGTGTCTTGTGGGGCAGTTCATGCGATGGCTTTATCAGAGGATGGCTTGCTACAAGCTTGGGGTAAATGCATATTCCATTTCTTAGTTTCTGATGATGTCATATCCCATTGAAAATGAAAGAAACCTTAAATTCATCTTCTCCCACCTCTAATTAATCAAAATTTAATACTGTGATGATACACCAGGATATAATGAATACGGTCAACTTGGCAGAGGATTTACATGTGAAGGATTACAGGGGGCTCGTATAATAAATGCATACGCGAAGTTCCTAGATGAAGCCCCTGAGCTTGTGAAGATTACCCAAGTGTCATGCGGGGAGTACCACACGGCAGCTATATCTGAAAAAGGCGAGGTGTAAGTGATTTGAGGAATTCTTAGATGGAGATTAGGTTATACATCTAAGCTTAAGTATTGTGGTTATCCCCATGGCACATTTAGTTCAGAAGGTTTGCGAAAATCTTCGTATGGGAATCTCACATTTAAAAGGAGACAGGATGCCTAGAATACTGGACGCATTTTATGCGACTATGCATTCTCGGAATTTATATTTGTTTTTAATCTGTGATTTTTTATTCATATCGAACCCTTGTTGATTCTGAACTTCGTTCGTGAAGGAACCGGGCTTATGACAGGCCAGCCATTTTTTATGAGAAATGCTTTGGTCTCAGTTATTTTACTAACCAAGGTTCTAGATAAAGAGGTTATCTGATATTGATGTGTTATGAAGAAGTGACATGCCAGTTATACTCGTATACTCTTGATCTGTTATGTAGTCTTCCCAACGAGTCGGTTATTATTGTACTACAATGTTTATTCATTTGTTTGTTTACCTGTAGTTTCTTTTCGGAATTCTTCCTCACAATACTTTTATTTGGCCCTCATAGGTATACTTGGGGGCTAGGAAACATGGGTCAACTTGGGCATTGTTCCCTTCAATCTGGGGAGAAAGAGTTATTGCCGAGGAGAGTGGTCGCACTTGATGGAATAGTCGTAAAGGACGTTGCATGCGGTGGCGTACATACATGTGCTGTGACTCAGAAGGGAGCTCTTTATGCTTGGGGTGGTGGTCGTGCAGGGCAGTTAGGCCTTGGCCCTGAAACGGGATTATTTTCATGCAACCCTAATGAATCTCAGTCATTTTTCCGGAATATTCCTGCGTTGGTTATTCCAACTAGTGTGCAACTCATTGCGTGTGGACACTCCCACACACTTATCTCTACAAGGGATGGAAGAATTCATGGATGGGGCTACAATAGCTATGGTCAAGCATCTAATGAGAAACTGACTTACGCTTGGTATCCATCTCCAGTTGATTGGTACGGTACAGATAAATTGTTCACGATCAGTTTTTTTTGTGGCTATCTTGATTGGCACACTGATTGAAGTTTGCATCGCACAGGTGCGTTGGGGAAGTGCGAAAACTTGCAGCTGGTGGTGGCCATTCAGCCGTGTTGACTGATGCATGTACCTTGAAGGAATTGTGTGAATTTAGGCTTGCAGATAGTGTTAATCTAAAGAATGCTTCTACGATTGAGGACATTGCGTCTAGAACAGGTTCAGATGCTTTAGCACGGCTTTGTGAAAGATTGAGGTATGGATTTCTTTTCACTACGTCAAAAGGTGAACAAATTTGCGCTTCGTCCATGTCCTTATTCCACAATTACATAATGATCATTTATCCGCCTTGGTAAAATCAGGATAAATCTCATAGAACTTTTTTTTGTTGAGAGAAAGTAAATCTCATAGAAATTTAAATATGAATCACATTGAAAATGTTAGTAAATAAGGGTAATTCAAATTAGAATTACAGGGACAAGATTGGAATCGGATCTAAACTATTGTTACAAACAGAAAAAGTGTAGCTTTTGCTTCTTTTACATACAAAGTTCCTTTTGATAAATGAACTACCCTGAAAGAGTTCACTAGTTCATAGAGGTGCACATTTCCTCCTCAAGAGTGTTATTTGTTGATCACATAATATTCCATGAACTGGTAATGCTCTCGGAGCTTTGCACCGTTGGTTGCGATGTGCTTCTTTTCACTTATTCGTTATGTGTATCTTTGATGAGGATACCAATGTGAGTTTCTATTTCGTGCAGGCAGCATGTGAATGAGAGTGGCGACTGTGAACACGAAGACGATTAGACCAGCAGTTATTCGATGTGAAGAAACGATTGGATTAGATTTAAAATTGACATCCATTAATTCAATTTAATCACTGTATGGAAGAAGTTGTAATCAGATTATGAAGGGGTTAAACCCATGTATATATGTCAAACTAATATCATTTGTAACCACAATTAAGTCAAGTACACGGTTGTATTCAAAACATTCACATTGAGATGTCGGACTTGTTTATGTAATTATTCAATATGTGTATAAAAATGAAAGACTTGATTCTCGACCAAATCTGATGACTTCTCAATATAAGCTAAACTGTCGTTCGAGCCCTGAACTATTTACTCCAGTTGAAATTGATTCCCCAAACTATTTTTTTGATAAATTAACCTCCTAAACTATTTGAAATTAGTCAATTAACCCCGTCAATTTTGATGAAAGTTCATATACTTTGCTGTCAAATACTAGCTTGTGATTCACTTTTGAGGGTCAAGTTGTGCTAGTATTTGACAGCAAAGTAGACAAAATTTCATCGGGTTTAACAGTGGGGTTAATTGGCTGATTTTAAAAAGTCCTAAAGATTAATTTACCAAAAAAATAGTTCGAATTTACTTTCAACTGGAGTAATAATTCAAAGAGACAAACAACAGTTATGCTCAGGTCAAAATATAATTGTTAGGTTTTTGACGCGGGACTTTGCATAATTCTTCACTTACAGAGGCGGATGCATTGAGAGGTAGGGGTCAGCTGACCCCACGAACTTCAGTGAATGTCCAGAGATAACTTGAGTGATGATCCTCTGAACTTCGGTGAATGTTCATAGATAACTTGGGTGGTGCCTCTTTAAAGATTGGAGTTGGGTTCATACATGCCCTCCAACTGTAAGAGTGGCTCTTATTATTATTATTATTATTTAATAAATATTACTTTGTTAAAACACATAGTTTCGGACCCTTAGTTTAATAAAAAAAATAAACGCCAAGAGCCAAAAAAATAAACGCTTGGATGATGGATATGTTACTCTAGGGAGATCACAGCGTAGAGCTCAAAGAATCACAAACTTCCATCATTATCATGTGGAGCTCTTTGTTGCTATCGTTGATAAGCAACTTGTGAAATTAAATAGTCGCTTGATGAGGTAAATATAGAGTTGTTTCTTTGTTTAGCAAGTTTGAGCCCGAATGATTCATTCTCGACTTTTGATGAACAAAAGCTAATTTGTTTTGCTCATTTTATCCGAATGAATTTACTACTTGCAACTCTTGGCACTTGAAGATCAACTTGGGCATTATATTTTTTATATGCTCTCAAATAGTGAATTTTTTCAATTGAAAGGAATTGGTAGCCTTGCAAAAAAAAAAATGGTGGAGACTGGAAGGAATAGAGTATATAATCATGTGTATTTGCTAATTACATTGGCTTTGGTTCTACTAGTTGCTACTGCTTCAGTGGAGAGAGTTTTTTCCGCTATGAATATTGTGAAGATTCCATTGCGTAACAGAATGGAAGATCAATGGTTGAGTGATAGCATAGTGGTTTATATTGAGAGCATGGTATAAAAAATCGATAATATCGGCGATATTTCGCCGATATTATCGTTTTTTTCGGAGTCCGATATTTCCACACACATCCAATAGGTTTTCGTAAAAAAATATCGAAAATATCGCGATATTAGCGATATTATCACGACATTGCTTGAAAGGCGACGCTGACGCCGATGGAGTAGACGGCGATGCCGATGGAGTAGACGGCGACGCCGATGGAGTAGACGGCGACGGGCATGAGGGCTTGGAGCATCTGGATGAAGGAGACGGAGAGGAAGATGTAGGCGGAGTTGGAGAGCCAGAGGGAGAGGGAGTAAAGAGCGCCGATGGGGACGACGGACGAGATGGTGATGGTGATGTTCCTCGCGCAGGGAGATGGGTGCGTGGTGCGGTGCAGAGAAGAGAGATGAGGGAGATATGAGAGAGAGCCGAGAGGGAGACAGAAGAAAAAGAAAAGAAAACAGAAAGAAGAAGAAAAGAAGAAGGGAGTCACGGGGGAACAGAGAGAGAAAAGAGAAGAGTGGAGGGGGGGCTGCCACATGGCCACTTCAGAAAGAAAGGGATCCAATGTTTTGGATCCTGATTGGTAGTCAAAGAGGACCAATTTGATATATTAAAATGTTTAGGGGATAATTACACAAATATATCTTTATAAATGGGGGTGGGTGTTACATATTGCCCTAAAAAACTCCAAGTAATTACAACATCGTATTAGAATTGTAATTTATCCTTGTTAGATTTGGTTTAGAAATTCTATGTAATTTAGTGATTGTTTCATATTAGGTTTAGATTTGAATTTTTTACTCCATTCAGATTTTAAAGGATTATAATAGATTTAAAAATTTATGAATTTTGATGAAGTTTAATAAATTTTAAAACTTTTATGTAAAATTTTAAGTGAATTCTCTCAAATTTTCAGGGAGCGATTTGAGAATGTTTAAAATATTATGTAAAATATTTCTATTTTTTTCGAGTTTCCCAACTTTTTAAAAATCTCTTCGAATCAATTTCGAAATGAATACATTTGGAATGTATGAATTTCTTAAAAATCATGATCGAATACCCCTTAAACTTTAAAGAATAACTTAAAATCCTGATTAAATGCCCTTAGATTTTTAAGGAGAATTAAAATGTTTATAAGCCCCAATTGGATGTACAGCTTAATTTAACTAATTGACACAACACAACAAAACCAGTTAAGATTACAAATTAACATAAAAGACGACTTGATGCGAGGTCATATCTAAAAAACTTGCCGCAATAAGCCCCAATTGGTGTGTTTAAACTTCTTTCATTAATTACTACATATTTTCTACATTCACAATGTTTGTCAGCTCGCTATATAATCAACTTGATAATGTTAAATCCATCATGCAATGCATTTCCTTCCAATTTTTTGTGATAAACTAATAGATAATTGACTAAATAAACATCCTGCAAAGTTTCAATAAAAATTTCCAAGTTTTTCTTACAATTTCCGTGGTTCCCATGTAATTTTTATCGATATCGATATTATCCCGATATTTCCATTGATATTTCCGTGTTTTCGGACTACCGATATTTCCGATATTACCGATATTTTATTCCTTGGTTGAGAGCAATGTTTTTTCTTTCATTGACAATGAAGCTATAATGCAACATTTTCAAAATATGAAAACGCGTCGAAGACTATTGTAACTTGTATTGTTATTTGTTCTATAAGTTATGAATGCTGGAACTATGATTCAATTTTTAAAGTTATTATATGTCTAAAATTTGTTTGTAAACTTTTACATGTGACCCCTGAAATATTTTTCCTGGATCAGCCACTGATCACTCATGTGAACCCCAAAATTTCTTTCAAGACGATTAGAATATTAATTACAAGTTTGAAGAAACATTGTTTTTAATATTATTCTTTAATTACAATAGCAAAGCTTATATTTTATTCAAATGGCGAAAGCTTATATTTCATTCAAATGGCGAAAGCATTAGAAGGTATTCCGCCGGTCGAGGTGGTCGTCTTCCGGCGAAGCTTATATTTCATTCAAATGGCGAAAGCATCCACAGTGGCATGCGTGTGTTTGTAGCAGCAGCCGGTCGAGGTGGAGGTCTTCCGCCTTTATCAGAATCATTGTCATCCACTGCTCCTCTTGCCTGGACTCCCCCACTGCATGATTTTCTACATACATATAATTAGCTTTTCCACGCAACCCTAATGTGTTTCCGGTTCTTGTACTTTTTATAGTTCTAAAATAATATGATCATTGGAAACATCGCTCTGAGAGAGAGAGAGAGAGAGAGAGATCGTACCTGGTGGTTCGAAAAGTAGGTAGTGTTGGTGTTGATGGGGGTTGGGGCGGCGGCGGCATGAGCATGAGGGTGGATGAGTTGTGGCGGCCTTGGTTAGTTTGCTGCTGCCCTACTAACTGCACCTGGTCATGTTCTTCCTCAAGCATCGTTTTATTCTCCTTCACCTTGGATCAATTATATATATGTTGTTATATCCAAGATTTAATTTTATTAATATTCTAAAAAAATATTTCTCATAAATAAAACATATATATATATAAGAACGCTTTTAAATTTTTAATTACCTTCTTTGCTAGCGACTTGTTTAGTTCCCGTAGAGCCTTTCGCTGGAACAAGTCACAATGTGAGATATACAGACACGCATATATGCGCATGCATAAACACCAGTTTCATTTCATATTTGAATATGATGTTAATCCCATTAAACATACCTAAAGTTTGATGCTAAGCCCACCCGAGTGAAGGTATACTTATAGTTAAGGTAACAATTAAGCTAATTAACCCAGAAACATACAACGATTAGTTAATGTCCTCGCACACGTACAAACACATGCATATTGGAACAACATTCTACCTTCTTGTCCATCTCTGAAATGGATTCATGCACGAGTTGGTTCTGCAAATGTCAGAATTATATATGGAATAAGTATAAATTAATTTATATTAATTAGATGCCAAGGTAGCTTACCTAATCCATGACAGATATGATTAATTTGAGAGTTATTTTAATTGAGTTAAGTAACTTCATTACCTTTCTTGTTCGTATGCGCTTAAGAGCTGTATCAAGCTGTTGCTCCAAATCTTGAAGCTCTCTCAAGCTTAAGGGGTCTAAATCTTCTCCCACCAAATTCCTAGAGAAATAGACGTTAAATACAACCTATGAAAACATTTTCTCAAAACAATTTCTTCATAAATATATCAATACTATATAATATATATATATATATTAAATTACTATTATTAAGGCGAGGGATACTATTACAACAGTTTAGGGGGGAGGGAAGTTTCGAACTTCGGATGCATGGGTAGGAACCCAACACCCTATCCACTAGAATATATTAGACCACATGCATCTAGGAATTACTATATCACTCTCACTCGCACAACATTTATTTGATTAGATTTTCTCAATAGCGTTTCCTGTCTGAATAAAATTCTTGAATTAAATAACAATAGCTTAAATAATTTACCTTAGTTTCCTTTGTAAGACTTCAATCCTTGCCGCAAGCTTGGGGTATTCCACCGGCCAGTTTTCCTATAAGAAGCATACAAGCTTTATCAACGCAATCTAAGATTCAGAAATTATTACACGGTTTTTCAAATGCAAGAACATCTCCATGGGCAAGCATTACAAATATTGGTTAGGACTTAGGAGGCTCCTGACATTATTTCTTTGAGAGGGTTCAAATCCCCGACAAGGTTTTAACGAGGGTACATTATGCACAGTTGCTTTTGTACGGTACTATCTAAAAAATAATGAGGTGCATATAAAATGAAAAATATAATTACCAGAAAACTAGGGATTCTGCAGGATCTTTAATGGCTTAACCTAATCCAACCTTATTAGAAAGGTAGGTTTTGCAATCAGTTAACAACCCTAAATCAATCTCTTGCGGATCAGTATTGTATTGAAGGACACGCATGCATAAATCGGATGCAAAACATGAGAGGAGAAAAATGACCTCAATTTGTAACCAATTCTCAAGTCTAAAAACATATATACAAGAAAGAAACCTAATTGATGCAACTTTTCATCTTTTACTACATATTCTTAGTACTAGGTCTAGGATATTAAATACCTGTGATTCAGAATCAGCTCCGGTGCGTTGCCGTTCTGCATAGGAATATTGGTCGTATCGATCCAGAATCCTCACCATGCTTCACAAAAATGAAATCTTTCAGAATGACAAGCCAATGAAGCTTATAAATATAAAATAAGCGCACATCATACATAGTTGTCCAAGAATACATCAGATTCATAAAAGTAGATGAATTGTTGAAAAGCGAAATCAAGAATGATCACCAAAGCCCAAACTTTTGTTATATATAGATTTTGATACATATCGTCGGGAATTAAGAAAGAAGCCCCTAGCTTGAACAATCGGCCAATATAAACTTGCTCTAGAGAACAACCTTTCATATGTTGGAAACTAGCTAGACTCGCAGAGTTCTCCAACTATGCAGCAACCTACGTATTTCTTTCTCTGCCAGCACCACTCACTACGAAAAACCACATATCCAGTTCAACATTTTCAGTTGTAATCTAGTGCAATCGCTAAGGCTTCATTAGGGGGATTACATTCGTTACATTATAGTACTGTGCACGTTAACAGTATGTGTTATTTCTAATACTGGAAATAGAAGAGTTCACCATGCCAGTCATGAACGTATACAAATGTTGTTTACAATTTGGTTTCATACCCTACAACTTGATAAGCATAGGAAACACAAGGCATGTATACATTAGGTTGAGAGTCTTATAATAATGTATTCCGACAGGAAACGACAATCGAATGAACTATTCCAATTAAGACAATTTACAAGCGGTAATTTGGCCAACTCTTCTATTTTTCGAGACTAAACATTAAAATGTCAAATTTAAGATAATTGTTGGCATATATTCAGCAGAAACTTTTAAACTTTAAAGAATAATGTGTAGTAGACCAAATAAAATCTGTCATATAGACATAATTGGCCCCTCCCTGCTTAATTTCTCCTTATATATTTGACCGTCCCCAATAAGAAGGAGAGAGGTAGGTATATAGGTTAGAAAAATATTAGAGCATAATGTAATCGTTGACTCAGCTCACATCTTGATAGCTTGAACTGAAATTAGGCATAGATTCTAGCACACCTAGTCTGACGGTTTTTGGTAAAACTGATGAGTCCTTTTATCTTGGTGACAGTAAATGCGAAAGAGTGGCTATATCTCTTTAGCTTGCAAAACCGTGGACTCAGGAGCTAGAATTGTAAGGTTGGGGGCCGAGTAAATACAAGTATAGAAAATATATCAACTTGTTGGGATCCAAAAGGACAATACAACAACAACAACAAAGCCTTTTCCCACTAAGTGGGGTCGGCTATGTGAATCTTAGAACGCCATTGCGCTCAGTTTTGTGTCATATCCTCCGTTAGATCCAAGTACTCTAAGTCTTTTCTTAGGGTCTCTTCCAAAGTTTTCCTAGGTCTTCCTCTACCCCTTCGGCCCTGAACCTCTGTCCCGTAGTCACATCTTCGAACTGAAGTGTCAGTAGGCCTTCTTTGCACATGTCCAACCCACTCATTCCTAATCTTATCCTTTCTCGTGAGCCCACACCTCCAACGAAGCATCCTCATCTCCGCTACACCCATTTTGTGTACGTGTTAATGTTTCACCGCCCAACATTCTATGCCATATAGCATCGCCGACCTTATTGATGTCCTATAAAATTTTCCCTTGAGCTTCAGTGGCATACGACGGTCACACAACACGCCAGATGCACTCTTCCACTTCATCCATCCCGCTTGTATTCCATATATTCTGTCTTTGATCGGCTTAGGCGAAAACCTTTAGATTCCAACACTTCTCTCCAAATGTTAAGCTTCGCATTTACCCCTTCCTGAGTTTCATCTATCAACCCTATATCGTCTGCGAAAAGCATACAACAAGGAATAACATCTTGAATATGTCATGTTAACTCATCCATTACCAATGCAAAAAGGTAAGGACTTAAGGATTGTTGATGCACAAAATCAGTGATGACTTTGGTACAACAGAAAGTATTAAGTTTGTGACCTTCGCTAGATTGCTCCGGTCATTAGTATGGATAAGTATGTAAAAGGATAGAGACAGGAGAGCAAACACAAGATGTACGTGGTTCATCCAGATTGGCTACATCCACGGAGTAGAGGAGTTATCATTAATTGTGAAGGGTTTACATAAGTACATAGGTTCAAGCTCTCTTTTAGTGGGTACAAGTGAATGATTTAGTACAAATGGCATTAGGAAATATTTTGGGAGAATGATCTTCTTTTATAGAAGAGAGTTTCTAGCCTTGTTCTGGCATTGACACGTGTCGTGTTGTGATTGGCTTCCGATGTTGACACGTGTTGCGCTATGATTGGCTTTTGATGTCGACACGTGTCGCTCTGTGATTGGCCTCTTGGTTGGAGGGGAAGCTCCTCGGTTGGGGACTTGCAAGATCCAAGCCGCTGAGTAATCACGAAACTTCTAAGTACCAAAGTGTGGTATCGTCTTCACTTGCCTTATCTGTCTCATAGGTAGATGTGGCATCTTCTCTGGAAGTACTCTTCCTCCGTCCAGGGGTGGTATCTTTAACTAGTGGAGATGCACAAGGTAATGTATCAATTTCACTTGAAGCTTACTTGTAGTTTCAGGCTTGGTCAAGCGCGATACAAACCATGTAGTAGGAGTCCCCTAAGTCACCGAGTTAGGGGATCTGCTAAAAGAGGTGACATACAAGGTAAGCAATCAGAGCTCCAAGCAATCAGTCCCATATCAGAAGTTTGATTTCGAGTTCCGACTGATTGTTCTCATTCTCCTTATCTTGCAGGCAATATGAAGGATAAAGAGAAGAAAATGAGAAGAGATGATATGAGATACTTTTACTTTTGAAGAAGTAACTTTCCACATGCTTATTCTTGAACTAGGCTAGAGGGTTTTCTGGTTACCTCTAGAGTATAAGGCCGACTAAAGAATTTGAGGGTCAAAACAAGTCCATCAAATCTAGTGTACGTTCGACCCTGCTGATATGGGATACTTTTGCCATTGACAAAGTAGTGGAAGTATCGGCACGTGTTCTGTTACGCTTGTCTCCACATGCTTCTTTGTATCCTTCTCACTTGCCTTATCTGTTCCTCAGGCAGATGTGGTATTTTCTCTGGAAGTATAAGATGTTGAAGATGAGTACTCGAGAGCAATGCCAGGTAAGTAATCAGGTAAGGGGTTCCAGGCAGTCAGTTCCTAACTGGAAGCTTGATTCCAAGTGTTGACTGATTGCTCTATTTCTCCTTGTCTTGCAGGTAAGAACAAGGCCAAATGAAAAGACAGGGAAAAAGCATGATATGGGATACTCTTGCTTTTAACCCTGATGATATGAGATATTCTTGCTCTAGTGTAGCTTGTTTGCAGAGGTATTATCGGGGGGAAAGAAAGCTGAGTATTTCGAGATGCTTCGTTGGGAGTGCCCTCTCAGATATAAGGAAGGGTTGAGCATTTTTGCAGGTCTGCCTGTCCGTTGAGGATAGAGGTCGACATATATAGGAGTCTCCCTAATAACAAGTAGTAATGTTATTCCTTTACCCTTCTTGGTCATAGCACTGTAGTGGGAGCTGCCAACTTCACGTGTTTTAACTCTGTCAGAGCACTTTGAAAAAATGGTTTGTGGTATCTGGAAAGCTGATGTTGCGTGTGAAGATTACAGACAAGCTTTATCCAAGGAGATCTGGCTCTCGAAGTTGAGAAAGACATGCCTCTTCGGTTTTCGAACAAGCGATCCTGTCGGGGATCTGGCTCTCGAGATTCGGAGAACGGTGCCTCTTCGATTTTTGAGAAAGCAATCTTGCTGGGAGTCTGGCTCTTGAAATTCAGAGAGCGATGTCTCTTCGATTTTTGAGAAAGTATTGTTGGTGGGAGTCTGGCTCTCGAGATTCGGAGGACGGTGCCTCTTTGATTTTGAAGCAAGCAATCTTGTTGGGAGTGTTTTCTCGAATGTGAGTAAAGGTTGGGCATTTTTGCTAGTCTACCTTGCCACGGAGCACAGAGGTTGACACACAGGGACTTTCCAATTATCCAGTAGTGGTGCTGTTCCTTTATCCTTGTGGGTAATAATATGGTAGCTAAACCTTCAAAATTTATGTGTCTAAACTTTGTTAGTGTTGTTTCTGTGCTAATCTTTTACCCTTCTTAGTCATAGCAATGTAGTGGGAGCTGCAAGCTTCACGTGTCTAAACTTTGTCAGAGATCTTTGGCAAAGTTATCTATGGTACCCATGAGCTGATGTTGCGTGTGGAAAGTGGATGATTGAACAGTAAGATTCACGTGCTTTCTACTTCACCAGAAATCTTCGACAGATTGCCCGTAATTTCCGCAAAGTTGAGTGTGCATGTGACAGATGCTGACAAAGCTGAGAAAGCAGGTGCCTCTTCGATTTCTGAGATCGGCCCTCGTGGTCTCTGAGCAGCCCAGCTTTTGATAAAGCAAGCGCCTCTCCGATTTTTGAGATCGGCCCTCATGGTCTTTGAGCAACCCAACTTTTGAGAAAGCAAATGCCTCTTCGATCTCTGAGATCGGCCCTCGTGGTCTCTGAGCAGCCCAGCTTTTGAGAAAGCAAATGCCTCTTTTATTTCTGAGCAAGCACCTCTTCGATTTCTGAAGCTCCATCGAGTGCAGATTTTTATAGAGGCTGGCATTAAGTTCCAAAGCACACTTGAATCTCCACCAGTAGAAGCTCCATTCTTGCACTTTTAAGATCTTAATTTGTCTGACCTCTTCTCTCTTCAACACCTTTGAAAATGTCTGGCCCTTCCGACCATCGTTTTGACTTGAACCTTGGTGAAGAGGCAACCGCGCCTTCTCCAGACAACATATGGCGCCCATCCTTCTTATCCCTTACTGGTCCTCTTACCGTTGGGGATTCCGTGATGAAGAATAATATAACCGCTGCGGTGGTGGCAAGGAACATTCTCACTCCCAAAGATAACAGATTTCTTTCTAAACGGTCTAATGAGTTGGCTGTTAAGGATTCTTTGGCTGTCAATGTTCAATGTGCAGGTTCTGTGTTGAATATGGCCCAACGCCTATTTGCTCGAACCCGCCAAGTTGAATCATTGGTGGCTGAAGTGATGAGTCTCAAGCAGGAGATTATAGGGCTCAAGCA